TTTCTTCCTAGTCTGTGAACTGCCGAAATCTGTTTAGTGTGACAGCAACGCACAAGCCCCGTTGATGGGTGGGTGGTGGCTGCACATTGAGGTACGTCAGCTGAGAATCAAACTTAGGTCTCTCACGTGGAAGACGAGGATGCTGGCACTGAGCCACACCTGCCCCTTGCTTGTAGGTCTCAACAGCTGTGACCTCCCTGCCTACCTGTGAGGAGGAAAGCAGTGAACACGCCAGTCCTGGGAAAGTCTGAAGGATGTGGCTGGGCGGAAAGCACTGGGCTCACGTTGAGGGCTGCAGTGTGGAGAGTCTAGGAAGGCCAGCAGATTGCATGGGGAGTGAGAAGCCAGGGCAGGCAGAGGTCACCACTGAGCCCCCACAGCATTAGGACTCCCGGCTCCAGCTGCCTCCCTCCTCGTGCGAAGCTTCTGGACGCTGTCATGTGGCATGTCTAGTATCTATTGCCTGGGAGTGTATTCCTTTTAATACCTTAAGCTTTCCAGAGGCCTGGGCAGAGACCCAAGAACCCTCCACTTTTCAGAGAGGGTGAGACAGATCTAATTCATTAAAGTCCTTCTCCCCAGCCCAAAGGCATCCAGCCACATGGGAAGCTGGGACTGACCTTCCTGAGCACTAAGCCTTCAGAACGCGACAGTGCAAACACATCACTCTAGAAGGCCCACAGAGAGGCCTCCCAGCAGACCCAGCACTCCTACTGCGGAGGTTTGCTTTAAGCTCCAAGAATTGGAGTGAGCCACTAATGATCTTTCATTAGTTTATGAAATAATTAAGGACATTTTCTCAGTGCCCAGAGATGAGGTAGGCAATAGGGATGTGAAAATAAAACTCAATCTCATTGTTGGCCTTGTGGAGGTTCAAGTCCAGAGGGGCACAGGCATCAACAACTGGAGAATAACCACATGGATGCAACATTGAGAGGCTGGGGAGCATCACTTGGAGGCAGTGACTTGAACTGAGATCTGAAGGTTTACCAGGTGAGTGAAGGGGGAAGGGAAGAACATTAGCACAGGGGGAAGGGCATGTATAAAGGCCCTGTCACAGGAGGGACTCTGAGAGGTTGAAGGACCATCTTAAGAGACTGGAACAGGAAGTGAGAGCCATCTGGATGTGACATGTGTCACCCCCTTGATCCCCACGGTTGATTCTGGCTGGCTAGGTGGGTGCATCCCTCCCAAAGCTGTGCACTCGGTTGAAGACCACCACCCTCGGGAGAAGGAAGACCGTCCTCCGGTAAAGGGTATACATAGAGTAGTCGCGCTCCCCTGCTAGAACCTCCAAACAAGCTCTCCAAGAGGCTAGAATAGAACAACGGAGACGTCTGGCCAAGCTGAGGTTTAAGATGTGGACAGACCATGCAGGTGGCTTGGGGGGTGATGTTAACAGTTTCCACTGTCTTAAGAGCAAGGGGGGGGCTATGAAGGGGTTTTCAGGAAGTGGGAGACTTGGTTAGACCAGCACACTGAAATGCAATGATTTCAGGGCTGCGGGTAGAGAACAGATCCACGGAACAAGGGCAGGGCAGGTGAGGAAGGTATTATCCAGCTGAGCGAGTTACTATAGCAGGCAGGAAGTGGACAGATGCCCTGGAGGCCATCGCGTAGGCCCTGGTGATGCCCTCAGGAAGAGTCTAGGACACTTCCTAAGGTCTCTAATCTGAGCCACTGACCGGATGCTGGTGACAGCCTCAAGGATCGGCTGTATGGCTGTGGGGACACTTGGGGGGGGGGGCAGGACAGAGGGGTTACAGTCCACTTTGGTTTTAGACACCATGAGTTTGAAAAGCAAAGGCCAGGCCAACTGTGGAAGCCTGCCCGTCCCTTGGTAACTGGCCTCCCGCTGGTCACAGCTGCCCTGAGTGGAGGATTCCCACCCTTGTGTGTGCTCAGCTCCAAGTTCCTAGACTCGTCCTCCCCATTGATGCCTGGTGTTTCTTGGCTAACTCACTTTTCTACAGTCTGCTCTGAGCAGTGTCACATCAGTGCCATTTCACCTGGGGACTTTCAACAATTACTCATTCCCACGGGGCATGCTGGGAGATGGAGGTGTCACAAGGGGCTTGACCGGGAGGTGACAGGCGACATCTCCTTGGCACCACAGGACACAGGCCCGCCATCCTCAGACACTCAAGGACTAGCTATCAAGGGGAGGGGGCTATCATTCAAAGGCCCCCGACAGCCTGCTATTTAAGGCAGCTCCACTTGGCCCCAACTTCTGAGTCTAGCCACAACAGCAAGTGGGCTGAAGACAAAGGCTGAGACCTTGACTATCCCAGCAGAATCTATCCTTCCCTGGTGCCACTTGCAAATAGGAAAAAAGCATGCACTGGCCAAGCCATGGCAGATTAAGTCCGGCCACTTCTGGACAAGGTCCAAAGGTCATAAGCACCCCACAGTAACCCTGAGAAGTGTGCCACCTATGTTAGCTCTGGTAGTAGTCAAAACATTTGGTTCCTAAACAGGTCAGTGGTTTGAATCCCCCTCAGACAAGCCTCTACTCCTAGATTACAGACTTGGAACCTCTGCGGGAACAGGTCGCTGCCCTACGGGGTCACTGGGTCGGTCACGGCTTGATGGCAAAGGCTTTAGGATTTTTGTTTGTCGTTCAGAGAACTTGGCCACAGTGTTTATAGTGTATGGCTTTTTAAGATATGAAGAGAGGAAACACCACAGAAGGGCTCTGCTGTGGCTGACCCAGTTCACCGCGTCATGCGCGCACTGTGCAATGGGCCTCACGAGACCACTCTGGACCAGGCAGGGCAGGACCCGGTGCTTCTCTGCCCAGAGTGGGCCTGGAACGAGGGCAGCGGGCGGTGAGCTGGCCATGGAGGGAGCCAGCCTAGCGTCTGCGCATCACAAGTCCTTGGGGGGCTGCTGGCCTTTGCTATACGTTTATTAATTAAAATTTCAAAAAGGCCTGTGTCTGGCCTACTTTTATTTAAGGCCTAAAAAAGGGGAAAACTGTTTACATCACACCCTTGGGCCCGACACAGAGCAGCTGAAGTTAGCAAGATCCTTTCCTTTCAGTGATGACACAAGCCAGCAGCCAGGGAGGCAAACCTTTCCTTTAGAAGCATGCCATTCCAGGTGAAAGTGACAGCAGTTAAACATCGTGTTAAATAAAGACACAAGCGGGGTGAAGTGGGATCAAACACCAGTACCAAAAAAAGCAGGTGCGAGCTGCGTCCTTGGAGAGAGGGGCCTGTTGCATAACATGCCGAGGAGAGATGGGGCAGCCGTGGCCCACTCCGTGTCTCGTACGGTCCAGAGAGACTGCTATATATAAACCCTCTGCCTGCTTAACGTTCTCCCGACAGGACATCAAAGGAGCCTGGCGCTGGCCAAGTCTTCAGTCAGCTCCAGGTGACACCTTCCTGTCGGCCCTGCCCCTGCTTCTCTCATTCCCAGCCTAGGTGAGTGCGACAGATTTTTCCATCAAAGGTCTCGTCACCAGCTCTGCTTTTGCTCTGATCTTGGCTGGCTGTTCACGTATATGCGGATGCGCTGCCCTGCCTGGCTGTGGTGACTCTGCTGACACGCTGGGGAAACGTCAGACAGGCTCGGGGCAAACGCTGGCATTTAACGTTACTGACTGCTTGCTATCTACTGGGGGCCACCTAACAGCTGTGTGCTTCCCTCATCTGATCCTCTCACGTGCTTGAGACGGGGAGGGTAAGTTCCCCCCATTTCACAGATGAGGTTCACAGCTCAATGTGAACTATTTTAACCACCACCCTGCCCTGCCTCTTCTCTGAGAGGCCAAGTTCACGTGCACACACTACAGGAGGCACATCTGACACGAGACTGTGTCTCACAGCAGCCACCTTTCTTCGTCACAGCCTCCCCAAGCACAGTGTCTACATTTCCAACAGTGATGGTACTGAGTTCCAACTAGAAGGTTCAAGCGTTGCAGGCAGACTGAGCTAGATTCTGGCTTGTTGACCAAATAGTCTCACAACCCAGGACAAATGAATGTGTGACTATTTCCTCATCTACAAGGCAGGCACCCCACCTCCTTGGAGTGTGGCGAGGGTGGGACGAGTTCATACAAGGCTGTTTCCTGTCCTCCCGCCCTCCTTAGCAGGGACCCCGGGGAAGCTCTCTGGGCAGTCTGTAATGCCACAAGACCTACCCGAGTACTTCCTCTCTGTGTGCAGCTCTCTGACCACAACCGCAAGCCCCCACTCGAGCTTCCTCTTCCTGAACACATGTAAAACGATCCAGCCCAGCCGGGCCTCACTAGGCTGAATTACAGCTTGGAGGTCTCCAGCGAGCCCACTGCTAGCCACAGAGAAGACCTCTGGTCCCAGAGCGAACCACGTCCCGTTAATTCATCCTGATGGCCCCTTTCTTGAGCGTCAACGTCGATAATCATGAAGGAGAGAAAGGAGGAACATGCTCACTATGGTGCTCCGTGGCACCCAGCCTGTGACTGTGACCTTGGGAAATCCTTTAACAAGCACATGACCGTAGACTAGAGAAGAGACACTCCTAGAGACACGTGAAGGCTGGGGAAGTGAGAGTTTCCTTTTGTCAATATGCTTTCACACCAGTATCTCTCCCTCCGCAGGTGAGGACGCTGACTCGTGAGCGGTGTGCCCACACCGTTCCCGCCTGCTGCCCTCATTCTGCCCACTGTGCCGCTGGCTTTGGCGGGGGATGGGGTACTGATGGCCTCCTCTGCACAGAGGAACAGGCCCGGCTGAGGCAGGGAATGGGCTGAGGAGCAGCATCTCGCCAGCGCGTCCCCACAGTGCCCTCCTGTGGCAGAGGCCCGCGGAGACAGGAGTCAGACAAAGCGCCGGCAGGGTCAACCCCAACAAACAACTCTTGTGGCTCAGGGTTGAGGAAGAGAAGCTTTAGAATGAGTCACACTACACATTTACACGTCCTTCGTGGGATGGGCATTGAAAAAGCAGCAGGAGGCCAAGGCCAGGATCCGAGGGTCCAGGGAAGGAGCCCCACGTCAGGCAGGGGTGCGCAGCTCACTGTGGCTTTTCAAAGAGGTACTCGAGATCTGGGGCACGCAGTCTCTGCTCCTTGTTTCTGTTTTTGGCAAAGTCTCTGAGGAGTGCCAGGATTTCATTTTCAAAGATCTCTGGGGCTGGTTTTGCTTCTGCAGGAGGAGAAGGGGCAGAAAGAATTACGTCACAGTCTGTCAAGGCTCAGGGACGAGGCTCCTGAAATTGGAATGTGCACCTCTGGCCTTGGCCAGGAAACACAGATGCATCTGTAGACCTGCTCTATTCTCCCTGGATATCTGCATGTCTGCCGATACCTGGGGTCAGCAAACCATGGCAGCCTGTGTTTTGCAAAGAGTTTTATCAGAACATAGCTGTTCTCATTGGTTCATGTTTTGCCTACAGCGGCTTTGAAGAGGCAACTGCAGAGCTGATCACTGAGTAGCAAGCCTGAAGTATGTACTCTTCGGCTCTTTCCCGAGAAGTCTGCAGGCCCCTACCTGGTACAGTCGGAGCTGCACCACTGAGCTCAGCAGGACATTTCAGTTAGTGCCCACGTTTTGTTTCCTTCTTCTCTGGACTATGTTATTGTTGTTGTGTACCACAAGTCAGACTCGACCTCCACCTGCCCCTCCAGCAGGTCTTCAGAAGCAGTAAACTGCACAGCAGGACACTGTCCATCTTGTTCTTGTGGAGCAGCTGGTGGATTGGAACCTCATGCACGCAGGTAGGCTGGGCCGCTTCTTAACCACTAGGCCACAGTGTGTACGTGCACTTAGTGTGTCAGGCTACGAACCAAAAAGTCAACAGGTTCAAATCTACCAGTTGCTGCATGGGAGAAAGATGGGCTGTCTTGTCTCATAAACATTTAGAGCCCCAGGAAGCTGACGGAGGGTACTGGGAGTCCATATCTATGTAACTACAATGGATCTAGTTGTTTTCCTGGTCTGTAAATTTCCAGAAATAAAAGATCTCTTTTATCAGTTAAGAGTTCTTTGGCTATAAACGACGGGAACGAACTCTAGTCAGGGTGCTCTGGTGGCCTAACGCTAGGGAGTTACTCTATCAGTCCAAAGGCTCACGGTTCGAAAACACCAGCTGCTCCAAAGAAAAAAGATGGGCCATCTCCTCCCGTGCGACTTACAGCCTCTGAAAACCCACTGGAAGGTCAGCTATGAGTCGGTTCTGAATTGATGGCAATGAGTGAGAGAGTGAACTCGAGAATTTACTGGAAGGATAGTCAAGACTCACGATATTGTGAATCTGGAAGATCAGATTTAAAAAAAGGCAGCAAAGGCCCCAGAGAGCAAAGAAAAGAAGACCCCAACATCAGCCGAGGGGCAGGATGCTGTGGGCGGTGCAGAGTCACTGACGATTCCAAGCCCAGCGTCCCAGTCATCAGCCTCATACTGTGTTCAGTGTACCTGTGCCCAGGCTGTGGCTGAGACCCTAGCATCTTAAAAGCTTGCAGGCTGCCATCCAAGGCCCATCACCTGGTTTCTACTCCCCTTGAGCAACAGAGCAAAAAGGACAGAGAAGACAGGAGGACAGGCAATGTGTGACAAACTGCCACAAAGCTGCCTCCTCTGCCACTGACCAGACCTGAACAGGGCCAAGCTCCCACGACCTAACATGTTGGTCAACGATTCTACAGGAGAATCTTAATCAACAGGGGGTAAATGTAGATAAAAACCACTGCTATCTAGTCGGTTCCAACTCACAGCCACCCTCCATCCGACTTCGGAGGCTGCACATCTTTATGGGAGGAGACTGCCTATCATTTCACCTTTGGAGTAACTGGTGGATTTGAACTGCCAACCTCTCTGTCAGCAACCAAGATGCCATGAGGGGTCCTAAATGTAGAAAAGTGTATCAAATTCTCATGGAAGTCAGACGACTCTCTGGAGTTCTGGGAAACAGATAAACTCCTAAAACTACCGCTATGAGACAATCTTTAAACAGAAAGATTCCTCTGAACGCTTCATGAGGCCAAACAACAGTCAGATTAACACAGACTGTCTGCTGGGAGCAGTGTTCTCTTTTAAAGACTATCTAAGTGGGACTGAACTGACAGAAGCAACTTGAAAGTTGTCCAGGAAGCTTAGAGGGTGCTGAGTTCAAGGCGGAGGAATAATCTGGGAAAGGAGGGTGAGAAGGGCCACACAGCCTGAAGGTCATCGTCAATCTCACTGACCTCTACGGGCGAGAACTGGTGAGTGTGGTACTGATGGGTGCTTTCTGGGTATGTTTTCAGAAACAACAATAAAAAAACTCAACTTCCAAGGAAAGGCTCCCACAGGGGAAGCTTTGGTACCATGTGCTCTGGAATCACCTCCATCAAGAAAAAATCATAAAAGAGAGATTTACTAAAAACATGGACAGGGTCTTGTGGGGAAGGGGGTAGGCAGGGAGAAAAGTGAAACAATGAATGATTGGAAACCCTAAGTCTCTGTAAACTTTCATTAAAATTAATAAAAATAAATAAATAAATTAATTAAACAAACAAACAAACAAACAAAACCAAAAAATGATGCACGGGGTCACAGATATGAGGCTAGAGATCACACAACAGAAGTCTGTCCCATCAATGACTTTGCAAACATCTTTTAAGAAAAGCACAGGTGGTGACTGCCCACAGGTAATTTGCTCAACAGAAAATCCAGCAATCAAATCCACTACATCTGGGCAAAGAGATGTTGGGTGTGGTCATGTCAAGGGCAACTCATAGTGACCCTATCTCTGAACAACGGATCTGACCCTGTCCTTTCCTGTGCCATCATCTGACACCCTTGAACCCATTGCTGCAGACACTGTGTCCGTCCATCTCTCTAAGGGTCTTCTTATCTTTTGCTGACCCTCCTCCTTTCTGAGCATGATGACCTCTAAGGAACAGCCTAACAATCCGTCCCAATAATGTGCATGGGGCTATGTCGTCTCTGCCTCCAGGACACAGAGAGGTATTATCACAGTCAGAACAATGCCAGGGGCCAGCTGTAGAATGAACTATTAACCGTGCACATGCAAGTTCAGACTGAAGTTAAAGAAAATAAAACAAGTCCATGAAAGCCAAAATATGACCCTGGTCAAAATACACACCAACTGGCTTTTAGAGAGACCATCTCAAGTACAGATTTGATGCACTGAACACTAAAGACCACATACAAAACGAGCGGAGCTACAATAACAAGGACAACATGAAAAAAATCAAGAGGTCATTAAAAAGGCAAGAAAGAAAAGACCAAAAGAGACGTCAGAGGAAACTCTGGAATTTGTTCTTGAACAGAGAAGCTACAACGAGGAAAAGAAATGATGAAGGAAGAGAGCTACAACAAGAGAAGATTTCAAAGGGCAGCGTGAGAAAATGAACTGTTACAGTGAAAGGTGCAAAGACCTGGGGGTTAAAAAAACAAAAGGCAAGAACACACCCAATTATTTCTCAAGTTGGAAGAACTGCAGCACAGCTATGCGTTATCATCTGACTCCAGTAACAAGAGCAAAGGTCAAAAGAGCAGCAGCAAAGAACAAGTGCTGGTAAGATTGTGGAGAAACTGGAACGAACCCTTATTCGCTGTTGGTGGGAATGTAAAATGTACAATCACTACAGAAGACTGTATGGCGCTTTCTCAAAAAGTTGCAAATAGAAATACCACGTGACCCAGCAATTCCACTACTGGGAAACCAGGATTGCCACCCTAGCAGATATATACTTACCCATGTTTATTGCGGTTTTGTTCACAACAACAGAGTTGTAAACAACCCAGTTTCCCATCAACAGATGAATGGACAGAGAAGCTGTGGTATATTCACACAATGGAATACTATGCAGCACTGAAAATCAAAGAAATCATGAAATAGTATACAAAATGGACGACCCTGGAGGACATTATTCTGAAATATCTCCGTCACAAAAGGACAAATACTGCATAATGCCACTGTTATAAAATAGGACTGACATCAGGGTTGGGGGAAACTAAAAAAAGAGGGGATAAATAATGTACACTGCCTTGAAACAGATGAGGGAAAGAACTGTTAAAAAGGAATGTATGATTGGGTATTATTTGTATGACAACAGTCCAGAGCAAGAATGGGGAAGGGGAGAGGAAATTTTGCAACAATGAAAGATTTTTTTTTCCAAAGAGAAAAGCAAACTGGGAGGGTGGTAAGAAGGAAAATGTGCAAAAATGAATGAATGGAAATCCAAGTTCTCTGTAAAGTTTCACTAAAATCTCAATTTTTTTTAAAAAAAGTGTGGGGGAAAGAAAGGAACTGAAGAATAAATTCAAGCTTTGAGTTGCAATAGTGAAGTATTCTATGGGCAAAATACTGAATGATGCAGGAAGTCTCAAAAGAAAATGGAATCAACACATGGAATTACTGTACCAAAATGAACCGGTCAATCCTGAATCATTTCAAGAAGTAGCATATGATCAAGGGATGGAAGAAGTCCAAGCTGCACTGAAAACACTGGCAAAAAATAAGGTTCCAGGAATTGATGGAACAACAACTGAGGTGTTTCAAACCCATGGAGCTTTGGACATACTTGCTCATCTGTGCCAAGAAATCTGGAAGACAGCTACTAGTCAACAAAACAAGAGAGATGCATATTTGTATCCATTTAAAAAAAAGTAACCCAATAAAATGCAAAAATTACTGTCATAAATATCACACACAAGTAGAGTCTTGGTGAAAGTCATTTAAAAACAGCTAGAGCAAGTACATCAGAGAACTGGCAGAAATTCAAGGCTGGGTTAGAAAAGGTTGTGGAATGAGAGAAATCACTGCTGACATCAGATGGCTTGTGACTAAAAGTAAAGAATACCAGAAAGATGTTTACTCTTATTTTATTGACTATGCAAAGACTTCATAATAAACTACAGATAACACTGAGAGGAACTGGAATTCTAAACATTTAATAAAAAACTTATATAAAGACCAAAAAAAGCAGTTGTTTAAAGAGATGCTACATGGTTTAAAATTAGGAACAATGTGTATCAGGGCTGTATCCTTTCATCATACCTATTCAACCTGTATGCTGAGCAAACAATCTAAGAAGCTGGACTGTATAAAGAAGAATGTGGCAACAAGATTAGCCTGCAACATGCAGGTGACACAAGCTTATGTGCTGAAAATGAAGAACTGAAACATTTACTGAAGC